TAAATAAATTAATGTTATAATAAAAATATATTAAATATATTAAAATATATTAAACATATTAAAGCCCAAGATATAGATCAAAGAGAATAAATAGGTTATCCGAATGTTAATGCCTAATAATAGTAATGCCTAATAATATTATATAATAAAATATACTAAATAAATTAATGTTATAATAAAAATATATTAAACATATTAAAATATATTAAACATATTAAAGCCCAAGATATAGATCAAAGAGAATAAATAGGTTATCCGCGCGCGAATGTTAATGCCTAATAATAGTAATGCCTAATAATATTATAATAAAATGTACTAAATAAATTAATGTTATAATAATTAATATTATAATAAAAATATATTAAACATATTAAAGCCCAAGATACAGAGCAAAGAGAATAAATAGGTTATCCGAATATTTTTAGCAGTAATGCCTAATAATATTATAACAATATTACCGGTATTAATTTATTAAAGTATCTAAAATTAAGTTTCCAGTTTGTTAAACAATTTCGATAACAATTGAGATTAGCGCGGCAGAAGGTTAAACATACATCGAGGCGAGATAAAGCGATAACGAAGCCAGGAGAGGAATTTTGAGAGGCTCGAGTTTTTCTCGTGTCCCGTGGTTATCAAGATATCGCCGTTTAATGCAGCATAATACGAACTTTCTGCGCTGCCGGTATTGGCAGTTAATGGGAGGAAAAATGATCTGAGGAGAGATTCTGCGGCTCAGATAGCATGATTTATCGTCGATACACGGTGATCTTTCGCCTCGGCACAGAAGCCGGCGAAGAGCTGTCTGTCTGGTGTATTCACGGTGTCCGGCAACCGTTCAGATTTTCGACGGAGATTAAGTAATACCGGCTCTCGTGCATTTCAGTGCCTTCTTCTTGTTTAATTTAACGGTATTGCTTGCTTTCATAATATTGATTAAGAGCCAATAAAAGAGAACCGAGCAAACGGTCCGCGGGAGGTGGGGCAAACGGCACGAAAAATAGACGACAGAGAGAAAGAGAGAGAGAGAGAGAGAGAGAGAGAGAAAGAGAGAGAGATGCATCTCTTACGTGCAATGTCGAAGTATCGCGCTTCCTCTAGCAGCAAATCCAAATCAGCGAAATTATCTGGTATCAGCAGTCGGGAGTTTCTCATAAAATTCAATATGTGTCTGAACATGCCGCCGTCCCTGTCGATGAAATAGTGCTGCTTCAGGGAGTCCAGAACGATGGGGATGTTGCCGTTGAATAATTTCGCTAGCCTCGACTCTGGATACCTGCGAACAGACAATTCAAAAATTCTCGTTTACCCAATCTGAAGTTTCAATCGTTTTCACGAGCTTCTTCACCGCGCCATTCTACAGCTAGCAGTTCGTTCAGGCATTAGTTTGTGATCGTTTTACTTTTCTTTAATACCCGGTTATTATTTTCACCTCGATAAAGGTCCTGAAGGTATAACACGTATATCTCTACTTCCATTCATTTTCTTTTCCAATACTTTCAAACTGTTTTGACTCGAAACGAAGATCGACAGTTTAATCTTGAATCGGTATAATACGTTGTATAGTATAATACATACTATGTCTGACATTAATTTCTTTTATGCGCGAAGATAACGTCTTTCTTCGAGAATGTTAACATGTAACATGCGACAGTCTTCTTTATCATAGTAATTAAGCAAGTTAAATTTTCAATGTTGTTAGCAAGTTTATCAAACTTGGTTACCAATGTTTATTGAATCGAACACGCGGCATGCCTGAAATACAGTTTTGC